GCGAATGGGTGGCTGAAGGCACTTCTTACAGGTATTCGAACTTTCCAAGAAAAAGGCGGATGAGCCAAATCAATTTGAACCCCATCCGCCACCTCCAGGAGTTAAAATCTGAAGTATTTCCCCAGCCTGCACCTCGACCGTGTTTTTTCCTCCAAGATATATCTTGCGCTTATCGTTAGTAATAAGGTAATTAGCACCCCGAGCCCCATCTTTTCCTCCATTCAGTCCTCTCGGGGCATGTACACGCCTTTCTGAAAGAATACTAACAACTACGGGGCGTTTGAATTGTATCTCCCGAATGAGTCCTTCACCGCCTTTATGACACCCAGCACCTCCACTATTCTGCCTCAACCCGAATTTATGCAATAGAACTGGATATCTCTGCTCAAAAATCTCAGGATCAGTCATACGAGTATTGGTCATGTGGCACTGGACTCCACTGGTACCGTCCCAGTTAGGGCCGGCCCCACTTCCACCACCAATTGTCTCGTAGTAGCCAAATGTATTATCTCCAAAGGTTAAATTATTCATGCAACCCTGTGAACAAGCACAAGCCTGAAATGCTGTAAGAATAACATCCGTTATTCTCTGAGATGTGAGAACGTTACCTCCCACGACCGCAGCCCGATCACTTGGAGACAGAAAAGAACCGGGAGGAATATATATATTTACAGGAGCCAAGCATCCTTGATTGAGGGGAATATCAACGTCCACCAGACAACGCAGGCAGTATATGACTGCTGCAGATGTCACTGCCTCAGGTGCATTCCAGTTCCCGTAAACTTCAGGGCTCGTCCCAGAAAAATCAAAAGATGCTTCTCCTTTCTTAGGATCGATCTTAAGTTTTAAGTGTATAACAGATCCGTCGTCCATGAAATCTTCCTCTTCGATGATCACTAAATCTCCCTCTCCACCCTTGGTGAAATTGGAAGAAACTCTAGCAGCAACAGATTTGAGCATTTCCCTCACTGCTTCTTCTGCATTAAACTGCACATGATTCATGTATGACTGGACAGTATCCAAGCCATATTGCTCGATAAGCTCCTTGATAAGTGAAATTCCTCTTTGATTTGCAGCTACTTGCGCATGAAGATCTGATAAATTATCTTGAAGCCTGCGAGTTCCCGGGATGTTAAAAGATGATTCATCAGAACAGGGGAACCGTAGAAGTTTGGTAATCCCTTCTTCTTGAAAATGTCCCTTCTCCACAAGCTTGAATGCCTTTATTGCAGCTCCTTCCTCCCATATTGACTTTGAGAAAGGCGGCATGCTCCCAGGAGTAATACCTCCAATCTCGGCATGATGCCCTCGACTTGCAACGAAAAATACCAGGTTCCCTTTATCGAAAACGGGTGTAATAACAGTAATATCGGGAAGATGACTGCCTCCGGCAGAAGGATGATTGGTAACCAAAACATCTCCTTCGTTCATATTGTCGCTCCAATAGTTCAGCTGCCATTTAACCGTGCTTGACATAGCTCCTAAGTGCACGGGAACATGCGGTGCATTTGCAACTAAACCCCCATCAGGGCCAAAAAGAGCACAGGAGAAATCTAGCCGTTCTTTAATATTTGTTGATATAGAAGTTCTCTGAAGGGTGCGACCCATCTGTTCAGCTATTCCCATGAATCGGTTATTGAAGATTGAGAGCTGGACAACATCTGCAACTTCATTTGAAATTTTCACAGTGCAATGAATTGACCCGATTTCGATCTTGACATTACCATATTTTGTGATGGTAGCTTTACAATTAGGTTCTACTATCACAGTGCTATTGCCATTCATAATTACAGCAGGACCAAGTATCAAGTGACCATATGCAAGATCCTCAAGCCTGAACAAAGGCGTATCATGCCATTCATTCGCAAAATAGACCTTGTAGTAACGTTCAACTTTAGCATCCAATGAGGCAGGTTCTAGAGCACAGGGTTTCAATATGTTCGTCACTCCAATCCCACGAACCCTCACATCCGATATTAAAATATTCCTGTTCTCAAGTTTAAATCCATACTCTTGTTGGAATAACTTCATGAATTCAATGGCATAATCACCTGCCAACCCATCTTCATTGATAGGGCACTTAACCATGATAGCAGTGTCCGTTCCTTCGTACCTTAAGTTTAAATATGTTTCAGTTGTAATATTTTCCTCTTTAAACCCTTGCAATTGCAGTTTTTGCTTTACCTGCTTCAATAAAGTTGCTTCTCTGTATGAAGCCTCTAGCGCAGATTCAGGACCGTAAATTGAAGCATATGGCTCCTGTGCCTCCTCCACAACATCGGCCATTCCCATCCCATAAGCACTTAAAATCCCACAGAACCTGTGAATTAGTACCTCCTTCATACCTAATGCTCTAGCAATTGAACAAGCGTGTTGAGGTCCAGCACCTCCAAAGCAAGCAAGTGCATGATTCTTTGTCTCGTGGCCCTTCATCTCAGTCAACTGTCGTATAGGACGGCACATAGTTTCATTGGCAACGTTTACAAATCCTTGTGCAATCTCTTCCACTGTCATATCTTTCGCAGTTGGATCCTGGTTCTTTCTATAAGAATTGATTTGTTTTGCGAGTTTCTCAAATTCAATTCTTGTTGCATTGATATCTAATGGTTGATCTTCAGTTGGGCCAAAGATCGATGGGAAATAATCAGGAATGACATATCCCAAAATAAGATTTGC